CCTTTGGACCCCCCCCGGCCCCGGAGCAAAGCCATACTTGGGAGCGGCCAGGATCAGGTCCTGGTGGCCCTGGAGCGGGACGCAGCCCTGGGCAGGGCTCCCTGTGCTGGCCCGGGGTCAGGGAGGGCAAGGTCACCGTGACGGTGCCCACGGTGGGGTTACTGGGGGGCAGCCGAGGCTGTGACCCAGCCAGTGACCAGAGTGGGACCCAGCCCGTGAACTGGGCTGATAAAGCCAGGTGGGATGCTACCAGATGGGCATCCCAAGGGTGGCACCCACAGCCTGACCCCGGGCACCACGGGGCTCCAGGGTGAGCACAAGGACAGCCAGCATTGTCCCCTCTGAGGGACAAACCCCCCCAGAGCTGAGAAACCCCAGGGAGGAGGGTAACGGCAGGTCTTGCTCTCTCCCCGCAGTCTGTGGTCACGCTGGATGGAGGCAAACTCGTCCACGTGCAGAAGTGGGAGGGGAAGGAGACATCGCTGGTCCGGGAGCTGAAGGATGGGAAATTAGTTCTGGTAAGAAAATAGAAATGGTTTTAAATGGGAGGGGCTCTGCCCGGAACAGGGCGAGCTGGGAGCTGCACCAGCTCAGCACCACTGACCTCTCCACCGTCACTTCTGCCACCAGACTCTCACCATGGGCAACGTCGTCTCCACCCGTACCTACGAGAAGGCGACATAGACGCCGTCCCCAGCTCCCCCGCCCGTCACCCGGTGCCGCATTCGCCCCCCGCATCGCCTCCATCCTCGCCCCACGCCGGGCACGGCTTGCCGTGGTCTCGGAGCCCGCTGCGCCCGCCGGGGCTGCCTGCTGCCCCCGTCCCCATCGCCTCGTGGGGCTGCTTGGGGTTTGGGTGGTGGGTTTGCGGTTTGGGGTTGGTGGTTTGTTTTTTTTTTATTAATAATATGGGAAAACCCACCCGGAAAAATAATAAAGGTCATGTTGTTACAACTCTGTGATGAGTTTACTTGCAAAAAGGCTTTTCTGGCATGTGCTCACCCGTAGTGTTGAGCCACACAGGTCTCAGCCAGGCTGTGGGGAGGAGCGCGGGGGTTAAATCCAGCCTAGGCAGTGATGGGGTTAAACGACCAGTGATCCCACCTCAGCCAGTTCTCGGAGCTGTGGAAATAAGAGTTTGTTATGATTAGAAATATGCTTTTCCAGGGGGAATATTATTTTGCTCCCACGGCAGCTCAGTCGTCCAGGATCCGGGCACGCTCCATCCCAGCGAGAGCAATCTTCCGGCCACCAGTACAGGCGGGCACTCTCTGCCAAAGCATCAGCTGATGGTGCACGCCCAGCAGCGGGCCGAGGCAGGAATCAAGGTCACAAGCACTTTATGTCTGGGGTTGGGAAGGGAAGCAGCCCAAAAGGGGGGACTCGGCCACGCAGAACTGCAGCAAGCAGCACTGGAAAGGGCCAGGCGCAGGGAGAAAGGGCAGACTGCCTCCAGCAGCCCCGAGTCCTCCTCCTGCTACGCACACGGGCAGACGCCAGCCCCACTCGCTTCCAGAGGCACCAGGAGTGACTCAGCTCCCCCCCGTTCAGCACATCTGCCCTGGCAGGGACGAGCTGCTCCCCACAGACTTCCTCTGCGGTTGCCGCAGTCCAGAGTAACCCCAGACCCGGTGCGGGGCAGCCCAGCCATCCGCCATCCCTTCCCCCCCTGACCTTCAGCTCCAGTTACAAGATTTATGCTCCAGTTGCTCCTTACCAGAAGGCACCAAGCTTCTTGTAGGGGTCACCTCATCACACACCCCCTTCTCACCCCAGGGAACCTCTGAAAGCAGCCAAGACTTAAAAAAAAAAAAAAAAAAGCCACAAACACACCACCCTTTAACGTAGGTCACATCCCCTCCACGCAGCTCGCCCTATCTTTTCACTGCCCAAGACAAAATGTGGAGCACACAAAAGGAAAGACCCAGTACAAAGTACAACTGGAGATTGGAGAGATTTATTTTCCATCACTTACCAAGGCGGCAAACGCACCACAGTTAATGTTTACTTAATATATCTCCACTCCCCCACTTGCTTCTTACTCTTCCACTCCCAATGTTTGCAGACAGAATGAGTGAGGCTGGGGGAGAGTTTGCGGACCAAAGCCGAGGCTCTGCACCGGTACCGGCTGGGAGAACGTAGCCCCATCGCAGGGACCAGCAACAACCGCCCCTGTCCCCGAGCGCGGTGCGGGGACGGGCAGGGAGAGCACGGCTGCGCAGCTCCACGGGCAACTGGTCAGGGGCTGATGTCATGCAGGCTGGGCGCAGCTGGCCGCGCTGGCCAGGGGAGCCGCCGAGCACTGGCAGCTTCCCCAGTGAAACACGAGGCTACAGGATGAGAGAGGTGCCGACGAAGGGGTGTAATTAGCCAATTTTGGCAGGAGTGCCTACTGGTGGGAGAAAACGGCAGCCCGTGCCTAAGGTAACAGAGGACAACTTGTATCAGAGTCACCACCTGTAACACCACGCGCCGAGCGGTACTCTCGGGAGAGGGAAACTCCTGGTCCCTGGAGTGGGTTCAGTTCTGCTCGCTCCTTGTGGTGTGTGCCAGGGACCTTTAACGCCGGTGCCCCCACCTGCTCGCCTGCTCAATCCCGGGGCTTCTTCTTATGCTTCTTTTTCTTTTTCTTCTTCTGAGCCTTGCTGGGCTTCCCCGAATGCTTGCTCCTCTTGCTGGCCGGCTGAGCCCCATCGCTGTCTGAGTCCGAGCTGTCCGAGTCCGACTCGGAGGATTGCTTGTTCTTGTGCTTCTTTTTCTTTTTCTTCTCCTAGCAAACGAAGGAAAATAAATAATGAAAACCTTGCACGTGGGAAAACTGTCACTTGTGCTCACCAGGGCAGTGAGATACTTTCAGTAATGAGCGCCTTACAAACTGTGACAGGGGCGAGTCTGTTCCGACACAGAAGGTGCACACAGCACCAGTCAGGATTTAACCATCGCTGTTGGTCCACAGCTGCACCGGGCAGGGTACAGCGCCTACCAGAGCAGGGGGATATCAAAATGTAAATCCAAGCCTGAAAACCACTAGTTAAATCACAAGAAGAGTCCTTGCCATCCCTCCACGGTCAGAGCTTACTCCATTATTAAGGCTATTCTTTATTAATAGAGATTGGCAGGATGAAGCCTTATTGCCAACAAAATGGGTTTTTAAAACAGCCAGCTGGACGTGAGCGCCATCCCTGCTTCCCCACACCACCGTCAGCCCACAGACTGCCAGGAAACGAACGCCGATGCGCTGGAGCACTGATGACAGCACACCCATCTCCTTGCAGGAAAGCCCAAGCGATGCCAGTCAGAGTTTCTTGCAGCCGTCCCCAGAGGGGAGGCAGGATGAGGAAAGCGCCCTTTTGCAAGCAGCAACTCTTTGTACAATCTCAAAACAGATTGCACACCCGCCTGCCCTCGCAGCTTCCCGCCCCGGCAGAGGCCAGGGGCAGCGCCGAGCCCCCCTGGGCTGGGTTTCTGCAAAGCCTTGAAGCAACAGCCACGCAGAGCTCGAGGCCCGACATTTAGATGCAGAGTAAGAACAGCTGGTGCTGGAATAAAGCTCGTAGGGAACTCTGCAAGGGAGCCAAACCCTCCATTTTGAGGCATCTGACAGTTAACTACCCAAGCGGAGATTACCCTGAGATCAGTGCCGCGGTACACCTTCCACTGGAATCACATCAGGCAGAGCATCCCAAAGCAGAGAAAGGCTATTTAATGCTGCAGTAAAGCAATTTATGTATATTTAATTAGAAAGCAGTACTTGGGGAGAGGAGCTGACCTGCCTGTGCTGGCAGCACCCACAGCCCAGCTGCCAGCCCCGCTCTGCCCACCGCTTCACCCCTCTTCCAGCAAGGAGCGGGAGGAGAAGCGCTGACCGTAGCTCTCGGGAGCCGGCCGTGCCCTCCGGGCGCCAGGGAGCCCAAGGGCTGGGTACACCACCGCGCGGATGCGGCGGGCGGCAGAGTGAGGCTGGGCAGCCAGCACCAAGGCAAGCGGTCCCAGGGTCAGGAACGCAAGGGGCTCAAAAGGGATCTGCCAGAGTGGTCAGTTTTTGCACAAAAATATGCAAACATCCCAATCTGATGCCGGCTGCGCTCACCTTTCTAATTCCCTGGACACCCACAAAATTATCACGTAGACCAACTCTCAGAAAAAGACGGAAGACTGTTTTTTTTCCTCAGGTATATTCTATAGGAAGATGCTTTGAAAAAGAAATGATCCCCCTGCAAAACGAGTTAGTTATTTTCCCCTAAAACTCCTTGGTGCCGGGAAGTAAAGGAAAGCAGCATGCAGACGACTGAGCCACTAAAAAATAATTTTAATAATTTGCATATGCTTAAGACAAAGCTTCAGTTTTCTGTCCTAGTCCGGCAACACTGGCCTCCAACGATCCACCAGTTTCTCCCATGGCCACATCAAAAATCAGAGACCTTCCCATGCAAACAGCTATCGTGAATTTTCATTCTATTCATGGACATAAAGAGGACACGAGGAAAGAAGCAAAAGAGGGTTTCATGAAGCGCCCATGCGACTGCCTGCGAGAGACAGACACCACCAGTTCGGAACACAGCCCAGCGAGTAAAGCTTGCTGCTTTGACTAAGCCATTTTTTAAGCGTTTGTGCTTAAAGTGAGTTGCACCTTCCCGGGTGATCCACGTGTGCTCACTGCTCTGGAACTGGAGCATCTCTCTGCTGAGGAAAGGCTGAGGGACGTGGGGCTGTTCAGTCTGGAGAAGAGAAGACTGAGGGGGATCTCATCAATGCTCATCAATCCCCAAAGGGAGGGTGCCGGGGGGATGGGAACAGTCTGTGTTCAGTGGTGCCCAGTGACAGGACAAGAGGGAACGGGCACAAAGGTGACCATCGGCAGTTCCATCTCCACCTGAGGAGGGCCTTCTCTGCTGTGAGGGCGGCAGAGCAGTGGCACAGGCTGCCCAGAGAGGTGGGGGAGTCTCCCCCTCTGGAGCCATCCCAAACCCGCCTGGACGCCGTCCTGTGCCACTGCTGGAGGTGCCCCTGCTCTGGTGGGGGTGGACTGGGGGAGCTCCAGAGGGCCCTTCCAGCCCCCACCAGTCTGGGATGCTGTGATGTCCCACAGCTGAGATGGCACAGCAGCATTGCAGCTGGGGTCAAAGGCAGCTCTCAAAGCAGACCGTGAGCAAGGAGCCATGGCCATGGCAGTGCCTCCCATGCCAACCACCACCTCTGGAGGACTGAGGTCTCCGTTAGCAGTGCTAACGAGTCTGCTGAGCCTGCACCAACGGCTGAGGAAGCACAGGGCATTCACTTCAAAGCATCACTGGACCAGGAAAAGGGCTCTTGGTAAGCCAGACAAAAAGCCATGTCCTGTCGTCCCCATCCCTGTCCCCCCCTGCCCCCCCCGCCAATTCAAAGAGGTTGAATGATGGCTTGTTCAGAGCGTGACTGCGCACAGGCACAACGGGAGACAGACAGCAGTCAAATGACAGCCCCAAACATAACATACAAACGTGTTTTACATTCCACTATGGAAAGGAGTGTAATGGAGAAGCCTGGAGCCCCCAAGCCAACAATGCCACTTATTCTCTTTGCCAAGAGCGTTCCAAATGACCTCAAGGCCACCCTTGGGCTTGCAGAAAGTTTGACTGGGAGAGGTTTGCTCTAAGTCACCCCCACCTTGGCAGGGCTGTTAATGCCATGCACTGATTTCAGGA